CATTGAGCAGGCCCTTTCCACGCACTGTCTGGATGATCGGGCTCTTGATAGCGAGCAGGCCATCCCGGAACAAGTGGCCGAGCTTCTCCGAACGCTCGACCATGTTTTCCTCGCGCACGACCTCGAGAGCACGAATAGCAACGGCACAACCAAGTGGGTTCCCGCCGTAGGTCGAACCATGGGTACCAGGCTCAACCGTGAGCATGACGTCCTTGCTACCCAGCACGCAAGAAACCGGGTACATACCACCCGAGATGGCCTTGCCGAGCAAGACAAGGTCGGGCTTGATTCCGCTCCACTCGTGGCACAGCAGCTTACCTGTGCGCGCGATGCCGGTCTGGATCTCGTCGCAGATCAGCAGCACATTGTACTTGTCGCAGAGTGCCCGGGCCTCCTGCAGGTACTCCGGGTCGGGGACAACGATGCCTGCCTCACCCTGGATAGGCTCGACGAGGAAACCAGCGAGGTTGGGGCCGGCGGCCTCGAACGCCTCGCGTAGAGCTGCCTTGTCATTGTAGGCGATGGGCTTTTCAGTTCCTGGGATCGTGCATCCGATACCGGGCAGATAAGGACCGTAGTTCTCGCGAGACTCGGGGTCGGAAGATAGGGAAATGGCGGCGAACTAATGCAAGGGGTCATCATAATCAGCCACTGATGTACCTTCATGGGTGTAACAAGGAGGGGTCACAATTCACTTACTGTACGCCCATGGAAATTATTCTCTGCACTCAAGATAACGGCTTTATTTTCCGGAATGCCCTTAACCTTGTATCCCCATTTGCGGGCGATTTTGATACCTGTCTCAACAGCCTCGGCGCCGGTGTTCATGGGCATCACCATGTCAAAGCCAAAGTAGCTGGTAACGAACTTGGCGAAGCGGGGGAAAACGTCATTGTAGAATGCACGGGAGCTCAGAGTTACTCGCGAAGCTTGGTCTACCAACGCAGCAATCAATTTGGGGTGGCAGTGGCCTTGGTTCACAGCAGAGTAGGCAGAGAGGAAGTCAAGGTAGTGACGACCTTCAGGGTCCCAGACCGAAGTACCCTGAGCCCGGGCAAAGACAATAGGGAGAGGGTGGTAGTTGTGGGCAGCATATTCCTTCTCAGACTCAATAGCCTCAGCAGAAGAGGCAGCATGGTAGTGGGAGAAAGACCCGTTGGTAGCCATGGTGGATTGCGGGGAGAGCTAAGAAGTTGGGGGAAGTTGGAGGGATCGGCACTGGGGTAAAGAAGGGAAAGATGAGGAAATCGAAGGATTTGAAGGAATTTGAAGAAATTCGACAAAAGAAATGGAAGACAAGAGGATAGTTATATAAGTAAGGGGAATTTTCCCTTTGTACAGCCGCTATGCCGTTAAGTGTTAGACTTGTTAGACCGGATGTCCGCTAAGTACAGGTCGTGCCGACGCTGTTCCCTATGCGCAGGATTACCCTACACGGCTCCATTACCTTGGATAACCACGATTTCCGATTCGCTCATTGGCTCTAATGAGGATAATATTCCTATTAACTATTGGTCTAATTAAAATCAGCTAAAAAAGCGAGAAAGACTTGGGGTAGAAATATACGTCATATTTCAGTTATTGAAGAAGATATGTAAATATAATTGAATGCCCAGCAAACTGAGAAGAGGGAGAAAATATCCTATAACCAGGCATCTAAAAAGATTACCTGATGAGACTAACTACCAAAAAAGACCAGACTTATAAAAAGACTATCGGAGAAGACTACCTGAGAAGACCAAGAAGACTACGGACGCATAAGCGACTAGTCTTGAAGATATATAGGAAAATAAAGAGTTATGCTGAAACAAAGAACAATTATCGAAAAAAAAATACGATATGAGACAAAGGGGTCGAACTATGGCAGCTCGAGTCGAGTAGGTCGAGTAGTACGGAGTAGGAATCTCAGAGTTGGGAGTTGGGGGAGAAACCCTTCCGCCCTCTCCTTTATTCATGCGCTTTGCGACACCAGACATCTTGACAATGTACGAGGGGCATGAACGAGTACTTACAATTTCTCACCCTTGATCATGTCTAAACCAACTTCTCCGCGCCGCGCGCCTCAAATTCCCCGCGCGCCCACTCAAAACATACTCCTCTTCCTCATCGCCTTCCGTCTCGTCAACGCGTTCGCAGTTCGAACCTTCTTTCAGCCAGATGAATACTTTCAGTCACTGGAGCCAGCCTGGCAGATCGCGTTTGGTCAAGGTCAAGGGGCCTGGGTGACATGGGTGAGTGAATGCGATCGCGAGAGCACAAGGCTTGGGCTAACCTCAATATCGCTCCTAGGAATGGCGGCACCAACTCCGGTCTTCACTACATCCCCTCTTCTTCGCCGCTCTTTATAAAGCCGCCGATTCTCTCGCCTCCACCCTCAGCGTGTCGCCCGCCACGCGCGCAGACCTCCTGATTGCCGCTCCAAAGACAGCGCAGGCCGTTGTCGCGGCAATTGGTGATTTCTACACATGGAAGCTCGCAGTTCGCGTCTATGGAAATGATTCACATGAATCCTGGACAACGGTATGTGGTTATACGTGTTCGGAATCTCTCTGGGCAGGAAAGAGCGCATGCTAAATGTTCAACAGCTGGTCGCAACGGTCCTAAATCCCTGGCAATGGTTCTGCTCAACTAGGACCCTGTCGAACTGTCTCGAAACAACACTCACTATTGTTGCGTTGGAACTATGGCCATGGCCATGGTCGGCAGGCCCTACAGTCGGCAACGCCCGCGAGAAAATCACCAGCAATCAAGTGAGGGGCACAGACCAGGATCGAAGTGGGATTGTTGGGTATGACTGGACCTCCAACTTTGTGACAACAGCCACTGACGCTGCCTGCAGCCTCCACCAATGCCTGCCGCTGGCCGCGCTCGCATGTATACTGCGGCCGACCAACATTCTCGTATGGGCAACCCTGGCCGGCTTCGCTTGGCTTCGGACCTCTTGGCCCCAGCGCAAGATCCTCATTTTGGAAGCCATAGTTTGCGGGTAAGTACTCCGACCTCCTGATAAGGGGCCAGCTGACCTTTCGATTTGGCAGATCGGCAATGCTCGCGGTGTCTTCCGTTGCGGACCGTCTCTTCTATGGAATTTGGACCTTCCCACCGCTCAGGTTCCTATACTTCAATATCGCGCAGTCACTGGCTGTCTTCTATGGCAGAAATGACTGGCATTACTATGTCTCGCAGGGTTATCCGCTTCTACTCACCACTCTGTTACTCTTTACGCTTTTTGGTCTGTACCAAGCGTTGACGACTCGGAATTCCACGGTGGGAGACAGTTTGCAGGCGGCCATCCGAGTGCAACTGGCGACAGTCTGCCTTCTGATGCCATTTGTCCTCTCTTTGATCTCTCATAAGGAAGTACGCTTCATCTACCCATTGCTACCCTGTCTGCACATCTTAACTGCGCCGCCTTTAGTGCAGTTCTTTTACCCAGCCATCTACTCGCGGGCATACCCGCACCATACCCCGCGCAGATTGATCCTCATATTTGTCGTGCTTGTAAACGTGGTTATTGCGCTATACACAACTCTCTATCACGCATCGGGAACACTTAAGGTCTTCTCCTATCTCCGTCAGCAGCACCAAGCACACTCGGTACCAATAACAAAGAGACAAACAGACACCGTCTCAGAAAGCGGAATCTCTGCTGGCTTTTTAATGCCCTGCCACAGCACACCCTGGCGCTCTCACCTAGTCTACCCGACAATTAACGCTTGGGCCCTTTCCTGCGAGCCACCGATCGATCTCAATGCAACCCAGAAAGCCGTTTACCGAGACGAAGCAGACCAATTCTACGACGACCCATTCCAATTCCTGCGCCAGAACATGGCTGGCGGTCTCCGACACATCCCTCGACGACCGAGCTACGCCTCTTCCGCACATTATTCTGTATCAGAAAAGACCCCCAACGAGGGCACACAACATGAATGGCCTGATTACCTCATATTCTTCGCCCAGCTCGAGCCAACCCTCTACACCCTGCTGCGCGGTTCCTACTACGGCGAGTGCTGGCGCACCTTCAACACAAACTGGCACGACGACTGGCGCCGTCGCGGCGACATTGTAGTCTGGTGCCTGGACACGGTCGAACAGGACGCCTGGCGCTCCGATACCCAACGCCAATTGCAGCAAAGCCGAGATAAGCAATTTGATCGTATCGTGGAAGCGTTCAAGAATGAGGGACGCAACAAACAAAAGCAGGGTTGGATGGGCCTCCACGTGTCTTCGATGCCTTGGTCTTCATCGCCTCCTTCATTGTTTGCGTCGTGGCGATGGTCAGTGGAGTCTCTTTTCTCATCACCTTCAAAATCATCGATTTCTTGGCCTTGGCGTCCTGCCTCTCGTTGGGAGACCTTTGTAGCGAGGTTGTCATTCTCGAAGCAGAAGACAGGTTGGTTCCCTTCCTGGGTATCCGATTGGTTTCCCGGGTTGCCGTCTTGGTTGGGCGGAGCTGAGAGAAGACCTACGGAGGCAGAGTTGTGGTCTTGAGATCACCGATTCCTGGCTCTTTCCCTGGGCTTTTTGGTCTCCAGCTATTTTGGGTTATATATGTGGTGATGCGACAGCTTCCTGGCTTCTACGTTCCGTTGCTCTTTCCCTTTTGTGCCTTCGATTTTCTTTGAACATATAGCCCTAAATGTACAGCACGATAATATGTGTATCTTCACCAGTAATATATAGTTCGAAACTCATATGTAACAGGACACAACATTTATGTACTCTTTGACTCGTTAACCGGAAGCCAAAGAAATATTCCAAAGAAAATGACAACTGGGAATGAGATGAAAAGAAAAGAAACAAAGATCTAATGAGTGGCAAACAGACAATGAAAATGCGCCGGACATGCACAACCATAACACGTCTTGTCAATCTTCTATATCTAAATCAGTACAAAAATCAATGTCAGAATCAAAATCAAAATCAATGTCCATGTCAATATCCATATTCACATTGCACGGCCATCTATCTACGTATTATCCAAGGCCAAGTCATAGAACTCAACCATAGCGAGCACTCAGACTAGCAAAGGCATCAGGGCTATGGCGACCATTCTGCAGCCCACTCACATCGACGCTCGGCTGGCTCATGTGCGTCCGTGGGAATGCCGAGTTCGTGGGCGGTGGGCCTGAAAAAGGGGACTTGCCTCCAGCAAATGGGGAGCTGTTCGCTCCTGCAAAGGGGGGACTACTCATTCCCGAGAATGGGGAGTTGTTCGTTCCAGCGGACGGAGTAGTTCCGGCCCCGGGTTGGCCGTTCATGCCGCCAATCCCTAGCCCTGAGGATTGCTGCTGATATGTGTTGATGCCTGCTTGTGCGGCGAGGCCGGATCCGCTGCCTGTGGGGGCGGTACCGAAGAAGGGGTTGTTGGATGTGGTGGGCTGGGTGTTGGTGGTAGGTTGCTGGGACTGGATATTTTGCTGGGGCTGGGGCTGGAGCTGGGGCTGATTCTGGAAGCTTGTGGCTTGCTGGGTCTGAGGCATGGAGGTGTATGGGTTCGATGGCTGGGAGTAGGGGTTCATTGAGGGAGGTGGGGCCTGGGATTGCTGAGGTTGCTGAGGTTGCTGAGGTTGCTCGGCGATGGGTGTCATATTAGACTGGGCGGGACCCATGTTGTACAAGGAAAGAATGCTGTTTTTGTCCATTCCAGTTCGTTGGGGCATGAGTTGCTGCGCCTGTTGTGGTTGCAGGTGAGACTGGAATTGGTTAGAGTAGCTGCCTGCGTCCTGTGCTGCGTTCGGCGCCGGCCCTTGCTGGAACGGGTTGTAAGCTCCCAGACCATTTGACGGCTGCTGCTGCTGCTGTACTTGAGAAGAAGCAGTTAGTCCAAATGGCGAGGCAGAGGACATGACCGGCATGGTATTTGCATGACGAGGGGGTTCAAAGCCCCCTGGTTTTGTCACAAGCGGGTTCATCTGCTGCTGTTGCGGCTGCATAGGTTGGTTTTGGGGCGCAGTGTTGAAGAAAGGGTTCGTTTGCGGGGCATTAGGGTTGGGATATGTCTGACTGGCCAAGCCACCCTGCCGCTGCGGTGGTACCTGGTCGAATGGATTGTAGCTGTTGTCCATTGGCTGAGGCGACGTAACATAGGGAGACTGCGCGAATGTCGCTGTGACGGGAGGTGTGTAGGACTGCTGATGTAGAGAGTGCTGCATGGAGCTTGTCTGGTTCGGGTATCCACCAGTGGAGTGGGGGAACAAGGGCTGGGAAACCTGCAGGCCCTGGAAAGACGATTCTAAAGGCTGTGTAGATGTCGGCTTTGCGTTCATCTGATCGAATGGGTTGTACGCAGAGGTCTGTGGTTGCTGGGTTTGCGACGGGGCCACAGGATTTGAGGCTGTTCGGTCAAATGGGTTGTTGGAAACCTCTGGGAATGTGTTGTCTGTTGTGATGGGGAATGGGTTTTTGGAGGTCTCAGGCTTCGGCATTACTACGCGTTCAGACGCAGCACTGCTTGTCCCGGCCGGGGTCCTCGATCTTGATGCAGGATTGGACCCCTCACCCAACCTGACCAGTGTTTCGACCGCTCGATCTAGATCCTCATGCAGTCCCTTGAGAACCATCTCGTTTCGTCGGTCATTGGTGAATCCCATCTGTTGCAATGCTGCCATTTTGGACTCAAAAGATGCCGTTGTTACATCGGCCACAGGCGCACCAAGTCCTGTCGTCTTTCTGGACTGCAATGGTGGTGGTGACCAGGCTCCATCGTCCGAGGTTGGCGAAGTCACCTTGGGCTTACCACCAAATCGGCGGAGGTTCGAGGTAGAGGATGACGATCGTAGCCCAAACTTGAAAAATCTTCCAGACTTGGGTGGAAGTGGAGGAGGAGAACCCTCGGGAGATATGTTATAGTCATTCTTTCTTGACTCCACGGGGGACGGGGCCCTAGGGTTGGAGTAACTCGAATCCTCTCTGCTCGGGGGCTTTGGCTTCCCATTTTCCAACGAACGGTGTTGGTATTTCTGCCGGATAAACCGTTCCATGCACGCATCGGCCTCGTCAATGTCGGTAGGAATTGGTGGCTTGATACCCCGTGGGTTGTTCATTTTGTTCATAAGGAGGTTACCGTGCGATTTCATGTTCTGCCCAGGTAATAAAGTCCACTCTGTCAGCTCATGAAATTTGCTATTGCGGGGTGCCGGATTGTGCTCACATCAACTTGCTCTGATGTCCAGGTGTCCATGGTTAAAGATTTGATCTTGGAGATATGCGTGCCCAGCTTTCGGTGCAGTGCGGCGCAACGCATGCAAAGGAAGATGCCCATCTGTCGGAGATGAACAGTCAGTTTGTGGATTCGATCGGAGGTAAAAGAAGTGGCGACATACATTCCAGCTTGCCCATCCTATTCAAATAAGAATTAGTGGGATCAACAACAAAGGTCTCTAGGGACGAACCTGGGGTCAAGGCATCGCAATCGGCACATCGGTCATTGCCAGGAACGGTCCGGATCAGCTCCGCCA